CTCCCTCCTCTATTATCCTACTTCTGGTCTCAACAGCCTCAGGTTCACCCTTGGCTCTCTCCCCCAGAGACAGTGAAGGAAGCAGGATCCCGAGAGCAAGGCTGGTCTGGTGAAAACAGAGAAGTGGGCAAAATTTGGCTTGGGTGAAGCAGCAGTGTTGGTTTCTTCCAACCTCCCTTTTTTGTGTTCCTTTCTTCTGTTTCAAAAACAAGTCCTGCCAGCCTAGGCACTCAGTGGTGCTGTGCTTTGCAGTTTCCTTGTTATGGCACTGTATCAAAGCCTACCTTCCTTGGTCAGTGCCCCATGTTCAAAATTATCTTCCTACTCATCATAAACCCTGGTCACATCTCCCAGTCCCTCCGTGCTTACCTCTCAGCATGGAGGAAGGCTAACTTGTAAACACAGTTGCCTTTTGCTCAGAGGAAGTATTAAAAATGCTTGGTTTTCCAAATGGAGACACTAATTCAGACTAAAATATAAATCACTACTGTAGTCGTTTTGCATTTTAAGCAATAACACCTGAAAAAAGGGAGGCATGAGATTCAAAAGAAAGGACCTCAATGATGAATTTCAGACTCCTTGACAGACTTGAGGGACAGATGTTTGGGGACACAGGGGCCTCTTGGCACCCCTCAAACTGTAGTATCTAGACACCTGCTTATTCTGCCTACACATAAAATCAGCCCTAGATGGGGATGGGAGGGGGGGGAGGGGCAGGGACCGGAGAGTTCTCAAGACAAGACCGTCTGCTCTGTGGTAAAGTCTGCATAGCGTCAGGATGGAGAAAAGCAATGGCTTTGTGTACATGTAGAAAAGAAGTTTGACACCCTGAGTCCTGTTGCCTTTTCTGAGTCCACAAAACAACTTTCACTGTAGGATGGCCCAGTTCCAGCTTTACCCCATGCATAAATTTATTTTACTCCCCACCCAGTGTAAATTGGAAAGAGTAATACAGAGCAATCTCACAGGGATGTTGGACAATTTAATTAGTGTTTATAAAGCACTCCAAGGTCCTCCGATGAAAACTGCTGTGTAAGTGCAAAATTATTATTAGTTCTCAGCCTTGTGTCCCCTGACTTCTGACTTCAGCTTTTGTTGTTTCTGGATAGGAGCCTTTTATGGGCTGTCCAACTGGGCCTTTCAGGTGCACAGGGAAACAAACACACACACATTTGCAGATTTTTTAAAAAGCATTCTAACTCTGTGGGGTCCTTCCAAGCACATCTATGTCTGAATTCCTTCCCACTTATCCCTGCTATATACCTTAATCTACAAGAGACTAGATAGCTACAAATAGGCTACTTTGCAAAAGAGAGAGGAAAAAAGGCCAATTGGAAGAAACACTTTCTAATGATGCAGAATACAACAATGTTCTTCTCATGCAGAATCTGAAGGAAATACTAGGTGAGGTCTATTTCCCTTTACACAAAGGGATGTGATACATATTTGTGCATTGAACCGGGCGGGGGGGGGGAAGTAATAGATTTGTTTTCAGTCCCCAAGTTTTGCCTCCCTCCTTCACTCTAATTCCCTGGGAATCATGGAGACAAATATACCCCACCTAGATGGCATTCTTCATGATAGTCCTTTGTTACCTGACTATATGCTGCTTGGGGTCTCCTGGGGAGGATGAAACAAAGAAATGGGAAAGGGGAGAAAAAGACTCAACTGCTTGTGAAACAATACCCCATAGCTTCAAAACAGATCAAGCCTGCGTGTGATTTTATCCAACTCAAGGTAATAATAATATGTTGCTGTTTCATTCAGTCGTTTTTCATTCGTGTCCAGCTCTCCATGACCCCATTTGGGATTTTCATTGTGAAGATACTGGAATGGTTTGTCATTTCCTTCTCCAGCTCATTTTACAGATGAGGAAACTGAGGCAAATAGGGTTAAGTGACTTGCCCAGGGTCAAACAGCTTGTAAGCGTCTGAGACCAGATTTGAACTCAGGAGGATGAGTCTTCTGATTCCAAGCCTAGCACTCTATCCACTGTACCACCTTGCTGCCCTTAATAATAATAATATGACACGGGGTCATTTTCCTCTTTTTTAAGATATGCTCATTCTTACTGAGCATTATTCTCCCACAACCTACTTATACTGCTCTCAACACATATTTGTTTCTCCAAACTGCTTTGGAAGTAGGGGCTGTCAGTCGAACAACAGGTATGAGATGTAACTTCATAAGAAATAAGAAGTGCTTAGAAGCAATTGTCACTCAATCAGGTGCAAAAAAGCATAAAGTCCTAGTCCAGTTATGTGTCCAATACCAACAATCTGATTGCGTGTAAGCTGTAAACCAAACCAAATTAGCTCTTACGGCACATTCCAGTGTTCTTTCATTTATTGTGGGGGTAATAGTCCTGAGCTCTGTCCCCACGGATGGGCATCCCCCTTCTCCCTGGGGTTCTTCCCACTCTAATCCTGCTGCGTACTGCTGTCGCCTTAATCTTCCTAAGGCACAGTTCTGATCACATTATTCCCCTATGCAAACACACTCAGTAGCTCCCCATTGCTCACTGAAAGAAGTCCAAACTCCTTAGCCTGGCTTACGGTCTCACTACAATTTGTCAAGCCAGCCTAATACTGAACAATGCTACCCTACCATGCACTCTGCACTCCAGCTAAAGTGGGCAACTGAAGTCTGTTGAATACGTTCCTTTCCCTCATCTGGGGTTCCCTCATCAAAGGCTGGAATGACTTCATTCACCTATTTCCATCTGTTTACTTCTTAGCCAGCCTTCAAAACCACCTCCTCCATGAGACCTTCCCTCATCTCCCCTACCCTGGTTAAAAAATAATCTTTTCTTCCTCAGACCTCAAAAAGAACTTTGTGTCTCATGTATTTATTTACTATTTTTCTATTTTGTAGTAGCTATTTGTATATGATATAATTAATTATAAATTATAACACAAAATAGAAAAAGTTAAATGCATAGATGAATTACAGAAAGGCTGTATGATAGTAAAGAGAAATGACCTTGTCATGTGCTAACTCTGTAACAGTGGGCAAGTCACTTCTCCCAAACCAGAAGTTATCTAAGATTCTTAAGATGAAGAAAAGGTGCCAACCTGCATTAATACAGATGGTTTCCTCAAACAGAAGTCCCTTATATCAATAATTTCACAGGTACAGTCCCAATCTCTAGTATAGTTATTTTAAATACATCTTAACTCCCCTATTAGAGTCTAAATTCTTTGTGGGGCAGAAACAGCCTCTTATTAATTAACCTTTGAATCCCCCTCAACATCTAGAAAAGTACCCCTGTACATAGTAAGATGCTAAACAAATATTTGTCAAATATTTAATGAGGAGAGAGGAATGAAGATTATTTGGTTTGGAGAAGAGTGAGGGCAGATTGACACCTGGCTTCAAAGATGAAAAGACAAAATTGTATCATGGATAATTTACAAAATCATTTTGTAAGCCTGAAAGTGCTTTATAAATGTAAGTCATTATTATTAACTATAAGGGGAAATTTCCCTATAGAAGAATGATGGTTGTTAAACATGGGAAAAGGCTTCTGAAAGAGATTGTAAGATTTCCTTCTCTGTAAACTGTTTTTTTTTTTAAAGGTTCTGTCCTCTTCTGCCTATCGTGATTTAAGACCTGCCTCATTGACAGTAGGAAGGAAAGGGAGTCATATGTTTAATTCTGTGAAAAAAACAGGGTTGTTACGTAAAAAGAATGTGAATCACTTTGGGCTCTAAGATTTCTAGTTAGGAAAACAAACTATTGAGAACAAAGAAATAGGTGGCAAAACTTTTAATTGTTTTATGTTTTAATTGTTTATGTTTTAAAATATACTTACCCCTAAAAGAGGGCAAGAAGGTGGTGAAAAAAACAAACTGTTCCTCTTTGGAACACAAAATAAACCTAATAAAACATTCAATCCTAACCACTGATTAAAATGAGTTCTCACCAACTATTAGAACAGGTCTCTCTTTACAACCAATCAGTGTATTATTTTTTAACCAGAGGACAGTATTGCTGATTTTAACAAAGCGATTGCTATTGGAATAGCCTTAAGCCCCATATCATTTATACACAGGCCAGAGAGAGGGCACTTATTCAGAAGATTTAGTCATCAAAAAGAAAAAAAAATAGCTCTATTAAAAAAAAAAGGAAAGAAAAAGTAGGTGCTCTAACTTAAATGACCCTGGTAAGCTTTTCTGTTTTGACTGAGTTAATGGGACTTGGGTCTCCATTTCATTTTTTTCCATGCAAACACGACACTATTGGCCTCTCCTCTCACTCCAGCACCTAAGAGGTGAGCAGCCTTAGTTTTATTTCTTATAGTATGGAACTCGCCTGGTGTGAATACTATCAAATCAAGTTGGGGTGAGGGGACTCTTTAAAAGAATGTGGTGCTGATATTACTATATCTATGACTGCATCCCTTCCCCCAACAAATAATCCAGAGTAGCTATAGATTAAGCTCCATAGGTCAATTGATAGCCAAAAAAGGACCACAAAAACATTGCTTTCCTGGACAAATGAAACATCATAAGTGTGAAACCATAACGTTCCTCCTGTGAAGTAGCTGAAAGGCTCCAGGCAAGCAACCCCAAAACAAAACAAAACACCCAATCAATTCAGTTTGTTAGGTCTTGTGTCCAAGGTGGTAGTGATTAAAAAATAAATAAATAATATTTGATGGTTCTGTAGGGTTGTTTGGTTTGTTTGTTTGTTTTTTTGGAAGAAGTGTTTCTCATACTTAAAAATGGAAAGGTGTAGGGGGAGGCGTTTTTCTTAAAAACAAAAATATGCTAAGTCTGAAATCCCAGAAAATTGAAACTAATTGAATGCCTCAGGTTTTTGCCAGTGCAAAGAAAAGAAGCAGATCCCCTTCCCTAAGTCCCCTGCATCACATAACAGTGACAGTCAAGCTGTTGGTTTCTGGTGGGTCTGTAATTCTGTTTGCTCATCTTCTGACAGACAAAGGACTTCCACCCTTAAGAGACAGCATTTTCCTTTGAAAAACACCATTTATTCCATTCAATTAAAATAAATTTTATTAAAATCCTACTATATTCCAGGCACTGTGCTAAGTACTAGGGATACAAAGACAAACCGGGAAGGGGAAAGGCACAGGGGGGAATACAGGTACAAAGGTAATACGAATGTGTTAAGTAATATGTATGGCACTGAGCCATTTTCCATTTCTCTCTTTCTCTCTCTCTTTCTCTTTCTCTTTCTCTCTTTCTCTCTCTCTTTCCCCTCTCTCTCTCCATCTTCCCTCCCTCTTTCTCCCCCTTCTCCCCAATTCTTTTCAGGAGAGCCTTCTGACCCAGAGCCCTCACACTTAATAACATAAATGTTGCATCAGGGAACTAGGAAGTAAAACTGCCCCAACTTGGCATCCTTATCACACTTGTACATTAGCATAGGTAGTGCTTTTAGCTCTGAAGAATTTCTTCATGACCTCAGGTAAAACAACAGAGAAGAGAACCAAGTTTTGGCATGAGACACAGTAATTGGCACAGGCTCCATAGGAGATTTGTGATTCCAGCCTGAAAATTCCCTTACTAACTACCAAGGGCTGGATGTCTCTGTGTCTCTGTGTGTATGTCTGTGTGTATCCCCTAAAGGGCATGTGTTCTTCCAACATGGCATCTTTCTTCACAGTTTCCTTGAAAATGCCTTTCCCTGATGAAAAGGCATTACCGAAAATTGGTTCATTGACCTGTTATTTCAATGTACACATAATACGCATAACGGTGGGGCCTTCAAGCCAGGGAGTCATTTACTAGCTATTTCCACCACCTCGTATCGAGACTTGTCAGTCTTCTCCAACACAGGAAACATCTATGTCGGTGTAACAAAATTCAAGCAGCTTCCAAGATGTCCCTCTGAGATATGGGCAGATAGCTGTCTGCCCTTAGGGAATCCCAAGCAAGAGCAAGTCTCATACATTCACTTTTCATAAAAGCATTTGTCAACAATGTCTCACTGAGTAGCTGCCATAAGAAGTCCTTAGGTCAGTACTCACCTTCTCCAAAAGGAGAAGATTTTTCACGTGGTTGGCCAATGAGCAGAGTACACAGCTTGATGGAGATCCTTAAGGAGATGTTGGTAGTAGGGGATCATCCTGAGAGATGATGTTTCCATATTTCCAAAGCTCTGCATCAGAAGCTCAAAAGTACATGAACAATGGGTTGGTCCATCCTAAGGCATGTTCTAGATGGGCACTGTGGACCCATTCTCAGTCATCTCAAGAATGGTGATCTTAGCAATGCTGCCCCCTTCACAGGAGTGTCTTTGTTCTTTTGGCTGACCCAAAGAACCATGAAAGGTTGCAAATTATTGGTGTTCTAAAAACAGCCCATGGAAGGAAAACTCAGACCAAGTCTATCTTCTCACCTGTTGTTGGACCCATCTGTTGAACACTTTTCTTATTTTGGAAGCGGACATGGAGAAAAGTTCGTTCTATACCTTGTTTGTTGGCATCTGGAAATATGTTCTGTAGTCTTGCAAATTTCTTTAAAAAAAAGGAGAGAGAATAAATAAAAAGAGTAATAGAAATAAGAAATGAAAATAGTCTAGTTAGCAATAGAATTAAAATGTTAATTCATGATGGTGGCTAGATAACTCCTTCCTGGGAAGAAAGCTCACTAAGTAGCCCAAGAAGAAAAGACTTATGTATTCAATTATAGTTTCAACAAACACTTGCTGAGTCTGTGCAAGTATGTGATTGGGGATGAAGGGATTATGCAGGCCTTTCCTGCCTGCTTGCAGTGGACCACGTGTGCTAGCTCAGCTGTTGGGCACTTCCAGAATGACAAAGCCCCTTACTGGCCACCAAGCAGGAAGAATCAATGTTCATGGCCAGGAGAGGGATTGTTTCGTCATCTTAAAGCTCAAGCCTTTTAGTGCTGAGTGACCTAAGACCTGCCAGAAGCAGTAAAGGGCTTTACTATCCCCAAAATGCCAAATCAGTGAGTTCCCACCTGTGGTCTTCAGGGAGCAGCAAGACAACTCCTTTGTAATCCCTCAAGTTATATCCTTCTCCTCCCCACTACTGTCTCCCTTTTGGACTTTGTCCTGGGAGTGGTGAACCTCTTCCAAACTGGTATCATGAGTTTCTTTAGATTACATCCCTCTTAAAATTCATTTTCTGAATAACAGTCATAGAAGGGAATACACACGTGTGCCACATGCAAAATAGCAAAGATATTGCTCTCTTCTCATGTGCTGCCTTTCTTGTAGAAGGATTTATCTTTTTGTGTGTTTATGCATTGTTTTCCCCTGCTAGACTTCACGCTCCTGGGATTTTATAAAGACTGACTCTGTCTCGCATGCTGTTTTTTCTCCCCAGCAATGACTGGAACATAGTAGGCATCCAACAAATGTGTGGTCCTTTGAATAAGATGGACTTTTCTAGAGCTCTGTGACTGTAATTACTAATGATTAGTAATTACAAACTATTTCGAATTTGTTCAACAATCTTTGGCTTTGTATCAAAGCATATTCAAATACATGATTTCATTTTATCATCACAATAATGCCTGAGCTAAGTTTCCTGAAATTATTTTCAAGCTCCATGTACTTCAAAGTGTACTGTATTCAGAGTGAAAACAGAAACATGCCATTTTTAGTGCTTATTAGAGAACAGAGATGCAGCACAGTGTGAGGTATAGAGAGCCAGCTTTGGTATTAGGAAGACCTGGGTTAAGGTCCTGCCTTTAATGGGTACTGGCTGGGTGGTCCTGGGTAAATACTTAATCCCTCAGCGCCCTAGGCAATTCACTAAGGATGTTAGGGGTGAATCTTCTTTCTTCATTGGTGAAAGGGCCTTTCACACCTGGAGTTCTATACACTAGTGCAATCACAGGTCCAGGGAAAGAAACACAGATGTGTGCATGTGCACGCGCACACACACACACACACACACACACACACACACACAAACAAGTTTATTTTAACACTCCCCCCAACAATTTTTTTGCCCATACTGTTAAGTCAGAATTAGATTGAATACCTCCCAACCTCCCTGTTGTTGTTTTTTTTTAATTTTTCTTAAAAGAGTAACAGATGTTTCTATTCTCAGCCCTTTGCACAGTAACTTGACCATCATCAGCACTTAATAAATGTTTACTGAAAGGAATTGGACTTCTTAAAGAAGATACTTACACAGGTAAAAACGATGAGAAATACATAAAACATCGCAAGAAACAACAGCAAGAAAACTTCAGCTCGGTGTTTCTTATACTTGTCACCTTCAGGTTCTATGGTACAACCTTTCAATGAAAAGCACAAATCGTCTATTCAGGATTTTGTTTTTACATCCAATAAAAGGGCTATTACTATCTCAAATGCATTGTTCCCAATCAAAAAAAAAAATCTTCTTCTCTGCCACTTCTATTCCTGCCTTTACAACATCAGCACCATGATCTTTGGGTATCATATGTAGAAGTAAAGAAGAGACAAATAGCCATAGGGAAGGAAGGGTGGTGTGTTTTAAAAAGCACTATAAAACTTGGGTTCAAATCCTGTATGCTACTTATAATCTTTGAGAGGATGTACTGTTTCTGCCTTTTGTTCAAATTCCGGGTCTGCCATTTCTAGCTATGGAACTGTAGGCAAATAATTAGACATGTCTAGGTTCTCAGTATCATGGTTAGACTAAATGACCTCTAAGTCCCTTCCAGCTTTAACATTCTGTTATATTCACTCATCCCATTGGGAGGGAACCCAATTATCTGCCAATTTCTTAGTTGCTTAATTGGACAGTTAAATGAGGAAGGAGTAGTTAAAGCATTGTTGTCCAACTCATCATGACCCCAGTTGGGGTTTTCTTGTCAGAGATACTGTAGTGGTTTGCCATTTCCTTCTCCAGCTCATGTTACAGATGAGGAAACTGAGGCAAAAAGGATTAAGTGATTTGCCCAGCGTGTCTGAGGCCAGATTTCAACTCACATCCTCCTAACTCTAGCCCCCCTGCTCTGTTCACTGTGCTTCCAGCTGCCCTGCAATTAAAGCACTAAGTAAGAGCTTGCTATCAATAAGGAAGCTTTCTAAGTGGAAACTTGTTTCTAGAGCTCTCAGCTAAAGTCCTGGACTGGGTGTTGAGGGAAGAGAGCTGGGGAAAAGATACTATTTCCTTTGCAGGTTAGAGATGGCAGAATAAATTGGCCCAGGAAAACATTAACTTGGTTAGAATGATTTACAAAGCTGGCAAGACACATAATTAGTAAGACCAACAAGGGACAGAACTGGAACTAGAAAATGTCTTAACTCCCAGACCAGTGTTTCCTTTTACTTTTTCCCGCATTGGGTATTTTTATTCTATATCCACTCTGATTGAATCATCCTCACACTAACTGGTAAACTATACTAACTGGTAAACTATAATCATTTGAATTTAGTTTAATTAGTTAAGTGAAATTCCCACCTCAGATACATATCTGTTGTGTGACCTCACTGCTCTAGGCAACTCTTAAAGATTATATATCCAAGGAGGTGCTTTCTTGTATTGGTAAAGGAATTTCCTCACCAGAAGCTGCCAATATCAATAAAATAACAGTTTGGGTTTAAAAAAAAAGTTAATGACTTATTGTTGGGAGAATTAGGTGCTTGGTTGGGGATATCCCATGAAATAAAGTTGGGGAGTTGCCATAGTCATACCCAATAAAGCAATGTAGTGTAATGGGAAGAACACCAGGTCAGATGAAAAGGGTTCAAATCCTGTTACTTAGTACACACGGGACCTTGGGCACATAAGAATACAGATTTAAAGCTGGAAGGGACTTTAGGAGTTGGATTAGATGATCATAGAAGACCCTTCTAGCTCTAACCATATGATTTGATGAGCTCACTTTAAGGTAGGAAAATCATCTCCAAATATTTCCTTTATAAAATATTTTCTGTCCTTATTCAAACTAAAGTCAGTATATCTTACGAAGGGAAAATGCCTTGATACCTTATCCTTGGACCATAACCGTGTCTTTTCTTAGATTCAGCTACTGTATCTAGTACCTAGTAGAATGTTGTACATGTAGTGGCTTTGCAGCAAGTGTTGATTATGGTAAATATAACAATTTGCAATAAACCACATACCTGCCACTTTCAATTCAACTGTGTCACTTGGGCTGTTTTCTTCTCCAGGTGCCCACAAAGTACATCTATAAGTCCCAACATGCTGGCAGGTAGTGTTCTGGATCTTTAGGGAACACTTTTCTGAAGGACAGGCCTCTAATGAGCCATTTATCTCTTTCTGATCAAGGAATTGTTCACTAAGGCTTAGGTTCATCCCCAGCATCTTGGTCAGTTCTCCACTTTGTTCATTAATCTGTAAAGAGAATCATAGATTCATTGAATTTCAGAGCCGGACATGACCTTAGGATTCATTTAGTCCACCCTCTTATTTAATAAATGAGAAAACTGAGGCTTATAGGAGGGAAATGATTTGCACAAGGTTAGACGTCTAGCCCGTGCTTCAGCCAGAACTGGAACCCTGGCCGTGGTTTCAGACCCCAAAAACAATGCCTTATCTACCACCTTATAATAGCACTGCATTTTACAGACCAAGAGCCAGAAACCCTGAACACAAATACCAAAGTTGCATGTATAAACTGTTGAGAGAAGCAGTAGTAATCCTGTTTTTAAAGAAAACATTGGATTTAAGAAGGAAAAAAAGCCATTACATACACTTAATAAAATATCTGCTTTGGAACAAGAAAGCTGCTGAGGCCTGGACAAATTTGGGTTGCTGACATTCAATGGGCCGTAATGCATGATACATAATTTCTTGATTTACCACAACAGTGCACAAATTCAAGATGATGAAAAAACTGCCAATTCGATTGTGAAATAAAAGATTTTTCCAGGTTCTTGATTTCTTACTGCTACTCCTTATACTGGTGTGAATTGAAAATCTGGGCCCATCAGCAAAAGTATCATAAAGTGCCCTGGATCCATTATTTAACAAAAAATGAAAAGCTGATCAGAGATAGACCCCCTTCCTTCTCTGGAGGCCTCTTCCATGTGGAGGCTTCTTGGCTAAGGTTAATATAATAATAACTCACCTTTCTATAGCTTATGAAGGTATGCAAAGCATCTTTCTTACAACTACTCTGCGAAGTTAAACAGAGCAGGCTTATTAATCTCATTTGAAACTGATTCTTTAGCCGTGATTACACAGCTAGTCTGAGGCCACATTCAAACCCAGCTCCAGACTGTGAGTCCTGTACATTATTCACACTAAACCACATTGCCTGCTATATACTAGATAGATATCATGAAGAGTCGGACACAATTAAAAGCAAGTGAACAAAAACCATGATACATGTACGCGTAATTCAGTCAGTCAGTCCAAAGCTTCTATGTGCAGGCTTCTAGGCGATACAAAAAAGAGACATATAACCTCAAGTCTTTTTTTTTTTTTTCAAGTACCAAAACTTAAATATTAGGTTGAAGGATGCCACTGTACACTGGATTTCACTATCAGACAAATTTACAAAGAAGTTAATTGCTTTCATTATTGCCTTATCCCCCTTACTTTTCCCTGAGGAATTGCTTTCACTCCCAATCCTCAGGTTCTCCCATCTTCCCCACCTCACAGCCTCTCAGCCCTCAGAAAGATGCTCATAACTAAATTTACATAAAAGTGTAAATGACTGGTTGTTACCCTTTTTAAGGGTATTCTCATTTTAACAAGGGACAATCCTATTACATATTCATCCCCAAAAGAATGAATCTCTAATGGTAGAATTCCAGGCATTAATGATAGGCTGTTATATGAGAGGAGGGAAATCACTAGGTTCCATCACTAGGTGGCAGCCCACTCCACCTATAGGTATAAAATCAATCACATTCATTGCTTTTCATGAGCATATCTTAAATAGATTCTATTCTTCCTAAGATATCACCCTGCATAGATCACTCCCTGACCGGACACTTTTAATAGTTTCTCGTTGCCAACAGACTAGAAGTACAACGTCCTCGATGCGACTTTCCAGGCCCTCCGCGATATCTTTTAATCGATCTTCCACTGCCCCTGTAGATAAACTATCTAACTGATCTACTCATCCTCTCCCAAAAGACACCACGTGCATTCTTACATCTTGCTCTTTGTTGATACTGTTCCACCTACCTAAAATGCCCCACGTCCTAGCCATCCTGCAAGGTCCAGTTTGCGCCCACCTCCTTTGTGGTCTTCCCTGACTCCATCAGCCCCAGGGATGTGTCCCTCTTTTGAGTTCTCTTTGCCTAGCACTGCTTCACTTAAATCCAGTTCATCGAGGAGTCAAGACACTGCCCGCACGATGTCATTGATCCTCTTCAAAAAAGGGCAATTTCAACAGCAACAACAATGACATCTACAGCCTAGCACAAAGGATCACAGAATGCTTAGAGATGATCTAGTTCAAATGTCTAATCTCACAGATGAGGAAACTAAATCCCAAAGAAATGAAACCATTTGCTGAAAGCTACAGAGCCAGTCAGAGGCTTCTGATTCTAGGTCCTGTGTTCTACCATATTTCTTCTACCCATCTGGCACTTACCATATATTACCTTCTATTTTTAACTTTTTATGGATATATTCTTTTCCTCTTCATTCATTCAACAAACATTAAGTGCCTACTACAGTGCTATATTCTAGGCACTGAGGCAGGTATAAAATAACTAAGATACAGCCCACCCTCATGGAGTTTATAATCTAGTGGGAGATTAAGATATCCATAGATAAATATAATACTTTTTGTTCACTCATGTCCAACTCTTTGTGACTCCATTTGGGGTTTTCTTGACAAAGATGCTGGAGTGGTTTGTCATTTCCTTCTCCAGTTCATTTTACAGATGAGGAAACTGAGGCAAACAAGATTAAGTGACTTGCCCAGGGTCCCACAGATAGTAAGTGTCTGAGGCCAGATTTGAACTCAGGTCTTCCTGACTCCAGGCCCAACATTGCATCGACACCTAGCTAGAGTCCCATGAGATCAGAGGAGAGAGACATTCTTTTCCCCCAGAAGTATTGGGAAAGGCTTCATGAAGGAGATCACCTTTGAGCTAGATCTTTAAGAATGAGTGGAAGGTCAACAGCAATAATAAATCCTAACTCTCCAATTAGATGATTAATAAGAATAAAATTAATTCAATATTGAAGGAAGAGATGACATATCTCTTTGCAAGTTGAGCATGTAACACAGTGCCCTGTACAAAGTAGTTTTTCAATAAATGTTTAGTATTGGCAATAATGATGTTAGCATGGATTCACTCTGTTGTCCTTACATAGATAGTACTTATTTTCTCTGAATAAAATGCAATGTTTCCTTTCAGATAGCTATCCATTTACTCATCAGCTACTCATTTATTATTCATAGAATCACTGAATTTTAGTGGATGGAAGGGACCTCCAATAAGACATTAGAGGTTGTATAGAATGCCTGGGAAAATGTCTTTTGGAAAATGGTAGATCCACACCAAATGAGCCAATTAAACACACAGGTCATCACTAGAGAATGAATATAAGAGCTAGCCCACAAAGGTCTTTTAAAAGGTCTCTTCTTACAACTATTCATGAAGTCACAAAGTAAGTCATGAACTCTACCAGAGGGAGAAGAAAAATAAGAATGGAACCTCCTTTTTAGGTCTGTTATCAGTCAAGCCCCTCATCTTTTATGTCACGCTATAGAAGTATAAAGAGAGTTATCTTCCTAAAACACAGTACCCATAACAGAGCAGGTCAAAGGTCTGGACTGAATTTAGGCAAACAACTCAATCACAAGGTTGAGCTGGAAGGGGACCTTGAAGGTCATTTAATCCAAGACTTTCATTTTATTTTACTTTTTACAAGTTTTAATTATCTCTCCATTCCACCTCCCCAATCCCCATAAATGAACTATAAAAAGAAAAACAGCCCTTCTTACAGATATGTATAGTTCAGCAAAACAAATTCCCACATTGGCCATGTCCAAAAATGTAAGTCATATTCTACACCTTATTCTGCATCATCTCTCTGGAAGGAGGCTGGTTACATGCTTTAACTTTAGTGCTCTGGGACTCTGGTTACTTCTAATGCCTCCATTTTACAAATGAGTAAACTGAGGCTCCCAGAACTGAAGCAACTTGACTATAGTCACCTAGCTAAGTGTCAGAAGCGGGATTTGAATCTTTATCTTCTGACTCCAAGGCCAGTGGTATTTCAATTACTAAACCACATTACTTTTCTGTGATAGATTTTTCACTCACTGACTTGACTGGTCAGTTTTTAACTAAGCTGGAGATGTCCTTTCCAAGTGCTGCAGTTTCTGGTTTCCAACTTCCCCTATGTGCAGAGGTTAGAAGATATCATTCACCACCCCACCCCTAACCCCATTACCAGTTCTTATTTTTTCTAATCTGAAAAAGTTGTCACCACCTGACCCTCCATTGAGTTCACATAATTTTCAAGCTTTCTAAATGTGAGTTCTGCATAAGTAAGACAAATTATCATTTGTAGACAGACCCTTCAAACAGGCAGTGCTTGGACAGCCGGGGGTGCGGCGGTGACCGAGAGGAAGAGCTAACATTTACGGCAAATTGTACTGAGTTTGTGCCTGCAGCCAAGAAGCATTTTATGAATATAGACATGATCAATGAAGTGATTTTGTTGCCACTCCCTTTGTTCTAAAATGCAAGTTCCCAGTCTTTTTACTTTACAATGAAGTCTAGTCTATAAAGGTCTGTTTTCCTGAGAACTCTCCCCCACCCCTTTGCTTTTAAGAAAAATAATAAATACTGAGGCATACAGACAGGAAATTGAGGGAACAGCTTGTGAGGTCCTCATGATACCTCCCCTGGAGAAGAAAACACTGTTTCTTTCCATTACTATTACTCCTTTATTAATTTGGGAGTTTACCAGATCAGTGGAAAGACCGAGTTTCCATCCCTCCATCCCAGTTCTGTTTAGTAGTCATCCTCCATGAGGCTACAGAGACCTCTGGTGGAAGCCTGAGTATTCCTTCCTGAAGATTCACTTGGAGCCCTAACCTCCACAAACAAGTCTTTCCTAGAACTAGTCTATGAGAAGGAATTAATTTTCTTGGCCATCTTTTAGGTGTTGAAAGATTCCTTCCTAAATAATTATTAGAGCCCTGCTGGAGAAAGGTAAAGAACATGTGGCCTTACAGATATTAGGAAGGGGAGGGAGGTCAATTAAGTATGCGGATTAAAACAAAGACAGAAGTCAGACAGCTTCTTAAACGCATATCTGGGTTAGCATAAACTTGAGCTTTTCAAATCTAATTAAAACACGAAATATTGCCTCTTCATGTGCCCTGGCCCTGCCTCCTCCAGTTCCCCCCTCTC